CGTAACTTCCGCGCCGTTGGCCCTTTGTTATTTTCAGATCGACTGTTCTAGCAACCGGTACGAGTCTTTATATGTAAGGGTTCTGACATTTGCCGAGAAAGGGAAATGTGCTTTTGCTTCGAAGAATTATTTGTTTGGCTTCGTTTTTTAGTTTCCAGTCGATGATAAATCATCGTCATAGACATTATCGTGGGTTTGTTTGAGATCAGGCTTGGAGTGATAGAAGGGAATTTTAGAAATTGTTTATGTCTCTCGCGCGATAGTTTTTGCAGGCTCGTTGAAAACTACCAAATGATCTAAAAACTGGCAAGTTAAATATTCTACCGCATGAATGTTTTATACGTTTCACCAGTATCTAAAAATAGTCGGAGCTGATTTACCAATTAAATCACGCGAGCGGAAAACCTCGGGTACTTCCGTATATGTTGACCGACCGGCTTTTTCGGCGCATGTTTCCTGTCTAATTAAATCGATACACCTGTGTGTGTTTGTGTTTCGGAAGCAGAAACGTGGCGGCGCGTGCGACTGAAAACTCTTCCAGCAGTCAATTAATCCACGGCGTAAAATTAATCAATGACGTCCGGCAGATATCGCTGCGGCGGAAAAATCGATACGTCGCGTCGCGACGTAACAAATCGTCTCCTGATGTTCGATGAAAGAAAAATAAAATATAGAACGGGCAAACGTCAACGCAGTTTCCTCGACGATGATTTATGCTCCGAAAGAACAGCTTTTAATTGCCGAACCATGGACAGATGGTGACTGGATTTCACGGATCAGCGAATGATGGATGAATTTTTGAAACAGGCTGGCAATTAGACTAAGTAGAGAAAGGAGGTCTGTTTGTCCTACTAATTAACCTTAAAAGGTTAGAATGCTGCGCTGCGAAGATATCACTGTTAAATTATTATATTTCAATTCGTTTATCGTGGGAACATTTCGTGCACGTTTGTGCAAATTCGCTCATTCACGAATATAAAGAAGCAAGCAAAAATTTGTTGTTCATTAAATTTCACGTCGAGTAAATATTTTACCTGCAATGCTTTATGCGTTTCTGTATATTATGTAGATTTTACACGTTTTGACAAACTTAAATATCCTTGTAATTAAATAATCACAATTAACAGGATGTACGTAATATGCAAAAATATGCGAAATACCCAAAGTTCTCGATATAACATTCGAAGGGATGTAATCTATAAAATTGCATGAAGAATCGTAATAGCAAAATTTGAGTTGTATGAATATCTTTGTTCGTCGCCATGCATAATTAGTATCCGTCTGCGGTTCGATAATTATCGACCGCTAAGAATTAATAGAGACACGTCAAATGCAGTTGTCGAACGATCGACGTAGTCCGAGGATTATCGATGTAATTAATATCTTCGAAGAAAATGATACGCTTAATCTGATAATTTTAAGGAAGTATCGCAGTTCCGCTTGATCTGTTACAAACGCTACGCGAAGAATTCTGAACTTTAGAATCATCTTGTATAATTGAGATCGCTAGAAACGATTGGAACTTCGAACCTGTATCAATACCAAGAGCGAGCAATTATCGTGCACTAGTAATCATCTCGAGCTCGTTTCGTTTCATTAAATCGAACTCTCCCTGACCATTTATTTCTTCTATGAGCACTTGCAGCGTTCTACGATCATAGAGCATCTACATCGATAAAGTCGTCATTTGTTCGTTCAAATTTGCTGTATCATCGGTTACAATTGCTATCGCGTCTCGGATAGTTGTAGCGTGCAAGTGATAAACGACGTGGCTGCCAAAAACATGAAAAACTGCTTCTTTAAATCTCATTGATAAAGTACGAGTGCTATAATCGTTTATTTTACTCCCGAAGACTGTCGCCAGAGGATTGAAATGCTAAATCTCAATTTCGTTGTGATCGGAAAAAGATAAAAGTGTAATCAGCTTAATTAATCACAGCTCGATTAATATCACGCTATAAATTAAAATTGTTTATTAACAAAATTTTCGACACGAGTCGTCGAAGTTTCTAAAAATCAGGACACCCGTGTATAATACAAAATAAGCCAAATAGCATAAGTAGATGCAAAAATTCGCAAACATACCGACTGAAAATCATAGTTGCGTGAGTTAGTTCACCGTTATTCTTCGTTAAACGATGTTCCACGTTTATTATTTGAAAAATTCATTATATCTTTTTCAAGAGGCGAAAACGTACGTATAATGACAGAGAGCAAAGTCGTAAGTTAATATTAATCGGTAAGCGAAACTAAGGGAACGATACTTGCAGGAATTGAAAGAATCTTAACTGGGATCGCTACGATTCTCAACTCAGAGCCATGCGGAAAATCTTCACCTCCGACACTTGCGCCATTTGCTACTTTGACTCCTCGATTCGTATCCGCTGCCGTTGTCAAGCGTTTGTCCTCTTCTAGATCGATCGAAACGCAACGAAAATTTCTCCGGCTCCCTCACAGAGATCCGTATACGGTCCCGAGAGCGATGTTGAAGCACGAACGCGATAGTTTGGGGCAGACAAGGTCCGAGACAAGCCGTCTAACTGTCAAACGCAGAGGACAATAGAGCGCCGGACGTGTAGGGGGTGTTAGCCGGCGACTTTGCATACGTCAACGCCCCTTCATTCGATATTCAGCTCGGGAATTGCGACAAAGTTTGCTCGAAATAATACCGTTTGTGAAGCGTGCCGCTCGCGGTTAAATGGTTCGCGCAACTCCGACGATTATTCCCTCGCGAGAAAGCCTACTGGTATTAAAAATTGTAACGTGAAAAAATTGCTTCGAATAAACACGAAGAAGTCGTAGAAACGAACTGAAAGCTCGTCGATGCACCGATCCATCGATTTATAACGAACGTCGTATCAACGTAGATATCCTGGAATTCCTATAAAAGATCTCTACTTTCCATCGGCAACTACGGTCAAGCATCTGCGTTCAAAGCTACTAATGGTAAAGCCCTGGTACTCGAAGCTTCCCAGGAACTGCGTAAATACTCTAGGACGCACAAAAACTTGCGTCGTTAATCTAACGCCTAGCGTTTCCGCGTAACGCGCCACTTACTCTCTAGATTCTGACGCGTGGTGACTACTACGTGGCGTAATTAGCTTGCGATACGCAACGCGATACGTCGTTCCCATTCGCCGGAGAACGCATACACACACTGGTTTCTTTGTTCGAGATAGCTGACCTCGACTCACGAAGCAGGTGATAAACAAATCGATGAAACTGTAAGGAGAGAGAAGAAAAGAATACGAGACGAGCGAGAAAAACTTAGAAACGTTGAAAAAGAGCGTAGGAAGAGAATCGAAAGGGTTGTGGGAGGATAAGGGTTGGACGTGGCCGTAAGATAGGTCATTAGGGGACTTTTCGGACTCTAATGAGATCATTAATTAAGAGTCGGAGCACCGTCGGTACCGGTGGGCTTCGAATCTCTTTACACGAGTACGGATTATCGGTATAATTAGCGGATACCGGAGGCTTCGTTAAGTCGACGTTAATTTCGAGATGCTACGATGTCTCGTGGACGCTTGTTAAGCTCGACGAACGCTAAGACGATGGTTCGATCGATGGTTTGCCACGTTCATTCGTCTGTAAGTTCCTATAGTTAACGAACTCGCTGACTTGAAACGTAAATTTTAATGCAATCGATCTGCGATAAAATTTTCAAAATGTAGCGTAATTTAATTTTCCTTATAATACACGCGATTAATAAGTATCATTCTCGTTTAATAATTAAAAATGTCTCTTAACTTTTAGTCAGTGTTAGCGAATTAATCTTCTTGGATGTTACGCGTATCAAAATATTTTCCACCTACTAACCAAAAGTTCGAAGCTCAAAGCAAAATCAGCGAAACTACTTAAATTTACTCGACCCATTTAACCGTAACAAATTCGCAAGAAAAGAGAAATAGACGAAGATTAACGTAATGCTCGAAACCACGAAACTTCAAATTTGTTCGAATTTCTCTAAAATCCTATCTTTGTTTCAACGATGATCCCTAAGGGAGGAATCCCGGGATCAATTAGGTCTGTTCTCGTCACAGAGACCGCAGTTTCTCTGAATCAGCTCGGCGGAAATTACGCCAGGGTACAGAGGTCTGTTTACAAAGCGTGTATTGTCCCCTCAGAGCGGAGGCGCCCCGACGCGGAGAATTTACTCGTGAGTTTCTAAGCGATTACCTGCAGCAGTGCAATGGCGCAGGTAACGAGAATTCTCTACCCATGTACCATCGCTTCACCATACAAAATTGGACGATCGCAGGGCACTTTTATGTTTGCCTTCGCTTCCTCTTTCGCCATTCTACGTTAGAAGGTTTTTGGTGGGGAAATGGAACGCAAGAAAATATAGTATTTACCGGGTGAATGGAACGACGATCGTAAAGACGAGCTTTACGCGCATTCAAGAAGACGTTTCTCGTACGATCAGAGGATTTGGATTTATTTTTCCAATGATGTGGATTAACGATAGGGACGTTGAGCGAAAAACAGGAGACAGATCGACGCGTAAACAGGATGGATTTTATACAGATTTCATACATTTCTCTAAACAATTGCATCGACGAATTAAAACGAGACACTCTGTGTAATAATTGCTCGCGATGAATTTCCAAGAATTCTGTCGAAGGAAGTTTATCGAGAAAATGCCGTGGCTTAACAGTTGCTTGATGTAACGGAACAGGAATGTTACCAACCCATCTTGTCTATTTATGTCATACAATCCGGGAGATTTACAAAACTAACAATCAGTATCGTACAACGTGCCATATTGAAACGAGTTCACAGATGCGATCCATGCAATTTGAACAAACTGAAAGTTGTTAATTATAGTCGTACAACGACGACGCGATGTACGTACGGAATGCTAATAGTCTTTCTAACCGCGTGAAAGCGGCTCGAAATCGCGTTACTTATTTGTCCAGGCGAATTCTAGCAGACGTCTGACAGAAGGAGGCTAATTAACGAAACGAGACTAAACGAAGACGGTCTATTTTCTCTGTTCGTAGGAGCGATGTCTTCCTGGAACCGTATCTGCAGCAGCATGGAACCGTTCAGGTTGTCAGCTCGCCGAGCACGCCTCCGCCAAATCCGCTGCAGCATCATCAGCTCACGCAGCTACATCATGTACAGGTGAGTAAGAGACCTTCCTTCTTGCTTAATAATCGCCTTGACGTTCGAAGGTCTTCACTAATGGCTGTACAGTTTGCCAACGACGAGATGAAAGAGTTGGTACTCGTAACGAGATCTTCGATTCTATTCACACCGAATCATTTTTCTTTTTTTTTTCTTTTTGTATGCGAAAATGATTGTTTTTTAATAACTGGCAATATCTTTTGAATGGTTTGACACATTTTGGTATTTTGATACTTGAGATTTATTTTACTAAAATCACATAAGTGCGTCGTTTAGTTAATCGATAATTTATTAACTCGTTGTTCGAATTGACAATCTCTTGGACACGCACCTCGACATTTTACGCTTTGTTTGTAAACGAATTACGTCGTATTTACGTTTTCGATTTTTAATTTTCTAATTGAAACATATCCTGTCGAAAATGATCGAATATCTTCGAACCATTCACTGAAGATTGAAAGTTCAGTTTTTCCGAGGGACACAACGTTGATAAAATTGTCAGGAAATAATTAGTATCTTGTGTTACAGCGAATTAATGTCCTGTAATGAAATTTCGCAATTTCGGCACACGAAATGACGCAAGCAATCGAGTGATCGGGAAATTGCAACGACTGTGGAATACTTTCGGCGGCTCGTAATTAAGGGATTCGTAATTGGCTGCGAGGGTGTTTAACACGCGTCGCACGTCCTCGTTTAATCCGTTTAACCTGAAACGCCGTTGTGTGTCAGTCTGCATTTCAAATTAAATTACACTCGAAACTCCAGTACGCGGCGAACCCCTTCGCGAATCCTCTTCGGACCCCCGTCGTGTCCTCGTGCGCCACCGCAGTGAAAAAATAGGGTTGCCGGAAAAATTGAGAAACGCAAGTGATCGACGTTTGCGATGTGTCGGTGCGAAACTCGTGGCAAGCGCCTGGATCGAATTGTTTCTCGTTATCTTTTTCATTATTTTCGAAACTCGGTCTGATTGAAAGCTCTCGTGAATGATACAAATTGATAGGTCGTACGAGCACGTTGGTGTTCGTGATACTTTCGATGGGAACAGGGACGAAGTAAAGAGTTAAAAGACTGATCAATTTTCCCTCGTTGTCGCGTCAAACTTTTTATCATTGTCCTATCAAACATTTTTCCCGTTCTTTCGTTCAATTTCCTTGCGTTAATAGGACGACGTAACGGAAAATAAAAAGCGTTTCTCCGAGCGCAAAGGCAGACGCGTGTGGTGAATGTGTTTTAATTTTCACAAATTATTATCCTTAAACGAAACACGTATCGGTGGGATCGTGAATCGCTGGTAACGAAGGCAATTCCACGGTATTACAGCGTTGAACCCTTTCCACAAACGAAGCCAACCGGAGCAAAACCTTCGCACTTGAATAGGAAAGCCTCTTGTTGGGAAATTCTAGCGCGATGCAGAAACACTCGGTTAAATTACCGTCGTTTCAGCGTAACTGCGAAACCTGTTCCGGCACCAATTTGAAAGAAAAAAAAAGAAGAAGAACGCGAACTTTGCGAAGCGTATGCTTGTAACAAATACTTCATATATTACAGATTTTATCCGAGATAATCGCGAACGATTAGCTACAAAGGAATACATTTAGTTGCTTGGCTATATCGCACGTTCTCCACCTGGTAAGACACTTTGATCGATGCTGATCGATTGCACTGGATTTTTACAATCATCGACTTTCCCGTCCAACGTTTTTCTACGATTCGTCAAACGTCTAATTCGCGTCACTGGAAATGAGACCGATTCCGTTTGGGTTCGCGACCCTTCTGTACTTTTTACAGGGTATTTAGGGGAATCGTGGGATTATTCGGGGCGACAGAATCGGATAAAAGGTGGGAGAAGTTTAATCGACGCCTGCCTTGATTTATTACGACACGAGCTAGCGTGATTGCGATCGTTTAACGTTCGAGTATCGTTTAGTGATTATTTATGGATTGCAACGTGGCCACGGGGTGTGCGTTGAGATTCAGACTATTAGGAAACTCAGATTCATACGATTTTTTTAGATTCATTAACTCGTTGACCGACGAATTTCTTGCAGAATGAAAGAACACGCTGACAAAAGTATCGGAAACTTTCTATCGATATACGCGTTTCCCGCATCTCTCATTTCATATTGTTCGTTTCGTTTCTCAATTCTCTGAATCGTGTCCGACATGCACGATTCGATATTAGCGACAATTCTGCCCTTTCAAATGCGACGTAATTATATAATTCTAACGTAATTATATAATAATGAAATTCCAAGTACGAATATATCATTAGGTAGTCCGGAAAGTGTCTTTCTTTTACAAATACGCGTTTTACAACAACTTATCTTTATACAAACATCAAACCTATTCTGTCAAACGTTGTGATTTTTATCCGGATAAAAGAAAATGGATCATACGTAATTCGACAAAATAATATAAAACAAAAAACATTGTGCGCCTATTATCTCCTTATAAAACGAACGAAACTTTTCGGACCACGTAATCCGATGTATAACGAGCTCCTTGATATTCTATTCTTGGGAATAACATCTAAAAGTATCATAAACGTAACATCAGCCTGAATACGCACAACATATAAACCATGCACGGTATAATTTCTCAAACGTCTGACGCGTTTCGCGACGTTAATTCCACTTCATTGCTTAATCTCGGTCCCCATGGTTCCTTTCGACCACCGTAAAACCTCGCGTCGGCCAATTCCAACACGAGCACGAAGAACGACTGGACAAAGTCACGATTCGCTGGCGGGCGACGCGACGCCGCGAATATGGAAATCTCTGGCCCTTAAGCCGCAATTCCGAGGGTGTAAATCCTACCTGATCGTCATACAATACACTCTAATTCGGTATTATACCGACACCACGCAGGGTGCAGAACGAACGGGTTCACCGGTTATCTCAATTTGCAGCCAATGCTCGCCCCAACCTTTATTCGCTGCTCGTTTAATCGTTCCTCCGACTTTTTTTTCTATCCGTCTACTGTTACACACTTCCTTTTTCCTCTTTTTTACTCTCTCGTTTTTCTTGCGCAGAACGCTTCCTCGTATCTGCGCCACTTTTAATTGTCCTCTTTGTTTCCGCGACGATTATCGTCGTCGAGCTATGAACGAAATAAGCGAATATCGTAGCCCTGGCTTCCCGCGGGGATACCAGGAACGCTCGTAATGATTCCATTACGAGAATCGTAAAATGGCAATTACGAGTGAGAAGCGCGTACGGGTGGGTAGAAAGGTGGTTTCGGCTTTCTGAAGCGAATAATTTCTTTCGTTAATACGCGTTGCTAGTATCTAAGCGAGAGAAACGGTCGTTGCAACGATACTGATAACAAGGTTTCAATCAATCGAAGCGGTACAAGCGGAAAGGGGGTGATTCTACGCGAAAAAAAGAATCGGAAATATAGAATAAAAATTTTCGTTCGAGGCTTTGTTTTCGAGAAAATCGACTTTGAATTTTCGCTCGGTACGCGTGCACTTTATCGCGTCTCGTTATAACGGATCTCACTGTAGATCGTTGTCTCGATTGACGTTACCTTTTTAATTTTTAAATTTTTGAATTTTTAAATTTTTAAATTTTTGAATTTTTAAATTTTTGAATTTTTAAATTTTTGAATTTTTAAATTTTTATTCTATATTTTCGACTTCTTTTTTCGCGTAGAATCACCCCCTTTCCAGTCAGTTACCAACCACCCTGTATATGTCGGAGATATAGGGACATAGGATCTTTCGTTTGGAATTTTGGGAAGATCCCCGATACTTTGGTCTAAACTGTTCATTATAGCTGTACTTAAATAATAGAACTTAGAAGTAGTCGTTGTGATAGAATCTGATTATGTTTGCCCGAGGTTTGTGACAATGGGCTTGGGGTCAAGGTGACACAACTGGTCGCCAAACGTAACCACGGTCACGGGACGAACGTTTTTACTTAACAGTAGAAATACCAATATCGAGGGACACGCGCTGTATTAACAAACAAGCCCCGGGGCAGGATCAATGACGGCTCTACGCGGGTCTGCCTAGTAACGGCGCCTGGAATTTTTATTGATAACCCCGGTCAATACGCAATTGACAAACGCGATCGTGTCAGTATTTTATTCTTATGATCACCTTGAAGAATTTACACACAACGTCTGGTCAATCAGTCAGAAAGATACCGTGCGTCACAGCTAACGTCACTTTGAGTTTCAAAACATATTCGATTGTACAAAGAGTTATCCCGTTGACCATGGATTCGTTCGAATCTAAGAACATTGTCTTTACTTTAAGAGTGTCTAATAATCACGTTAAATCGTTAAACCCTGTTAAATCAACACTTGTACATATAATTGAAAATATAAACCTCATTGAACAACTACGATGGCTTGTCCTAATGAAGATACGCAACGCGCCCCTAAAACTAGCGCCAGCCCGACAAACCCGACATATAAATATCTGTAGAAGACTTGTATAGAGGATGTTTGTTCGTGAGATTTATTAGATGTTATTGCTTGTTGTCGAAACCATCGAATATATTTAAAATAATAAATAAATATACAGACGATATTCGCTCGTACAGTGTATAAATCGCGTTATAAAATTGCTAATTAATACTCGATAAATGCTCGCTAGATACTCGTCGATAACTCGGTAGATAACTCTTGATAATTCGTAGATAACTCATCGATACTGAACTCTTTTCGATTGCATCCATTTATTTATACTGGTCGGGAGTAGTCGGAAAATTCAAATTTGTCTTCGCTCGATGGTTGCACATAGCGGCGATATTGTTTTACCCGGAGTTTATTTATTCTTACATTACATGTATCCTAACGATCTTGATACTCCGAGGCAAAACGACAACGTGATTTGAATTGTATAATATGTGTCATTGAAGTGGACGTGCAAGCGTCTTTATCGTCACCATTTTTCAAAGTCTCACGACCAACTACACGAAAGAAAATGTCTGAAAATGTCATATGTCAATGAAAAATGTCTCGAGTTAAGGTTCGACAACAGCTGTAGGGGGAAACTCGTATGTCATTTTATTTAACAAAGGGGGACGAGTTGGGCTATTTGGGCTCTTATTGGTCTTGCAAAATTCGTAGAACGATAAAAATGATAACCCAGCTTGATGTATCGTTAAATGATATTGATGGTACGCGGTCTGAGAAAGTTCGCTCTTGAAACGCGTAGGTGTTGACGGAAATGTTAACCGATTAACTTTATGTTTCAGAGCGAGGAGTCGCTTTCCTCGGAAGGGTCGGCCACCTCGGGTGGATCTTCGAGCTCGACGGAAGATTCTGGCAGCGAGGTCGCGTGCGACATCACTCTGATCGAGAGGCTTATACGCTCGCATCCGATTTGGTTCCTTCCTGGCATCCAAAGAGCCGGCGCTTTCCACTTGTTGCAAGGCAAAGAGGAAGGGGTGAGTGCACTTAAACGAATCGATTAGCCGTAAGAAAATTGCAAGCTGGGTAAAGTCTGCCTTGTCTTTATCTCTCGTTTTGTATTTCTCTCTTGTTGACCGACCAGGAAGTTTTCCACCGAAGGTACACGGGCGTTCCGAGCAGGGGGTTAAAAGCGTAGCGTCGTGGAAAGCTCTCGAGTGCTGCTGCACCAACCTCTTAGAGTTTCCGATGCGAGAGAATTTCATTTATCGCCCCGTTGGAAAGCTGTTTCTTCGATGAAAACTATCGCATTATCGTACTCGGCTTTTCCTATCGATCTTCCTTGCTACGAGTATTTTTAATCGGTCGTGAAGGTTTTGCTAGGACGTGTGATGGAGATTTAAAAAATTCAAGTAGCTTTAACTCTGCTGTTCTCCTCGCTTCTTCTTCGCTTTGTATCTTCTCGTGTATCATCTTTTTTTTTCAGCTATTCGTTCAGTAAAAAAGCGTGGAATACACAAAAATGAAAATTACGAGAATTACAGCGAGTGATAAAATATTTAATAACTATTATATTCTATACTAACTCGTCTGATTTTTTTGCTATTCGATAACTAGTATATTCTAATAACGTCTATCAAAATGTAACGTACGTTCCAAATTGCATAGACGCGAGAAGTACAGCAGCGTTAAAATCAGCCAGATCTATAGAAGGCTAAACTGGTTTCACGCGGCGACACGTGTATCGCTGTACGCGTATGATAGACACCCAATATACAGTACACGTGTATGCCAATGAATCCTTTCGCACGACACACGCCGATTTTCAAAAGATACAGCATCGCGGTACTGATTTCGTCGTCTGCTGGTTTCCCAACAACTTCAGCCGCCGGCGATAATTTTGCCAGATGAAAGAGCGATCGACACAAGTGATCCACGCAGGAACTAGACGAGACCAGCGATGCGTAGCTCGCGATACGTGAAACCGGCCTTGGTGCTTCCCCTTTTCGCTTTTAAAATCAATATTTTCGAAAATTCAATATTTTCAAGTTTAGTCGCCGATCTATCTTCGCCATACTGCAATGAACAAGTTTACGAAAAATGTATAACTCGCGTTGTCGATGATGCATTTACGTAACAAGAGACAACGGCGAAGAGGGAAGCATCGCGTACAACGAACAGCGAGTGAAGAAGCTGTTCAAGTAGCCACGAAGGGAGAGTGCCGCCATTAAATCAGCTGCGGACGAAACAAAGAGTATGAAATATCTCGCGAGCGATTGTTCGACCGGCGTTTTTTTGTTTACTGGAAAAAGTACTGCCTCGGGCCTGCAGGCTTTTCCGACGCTTTGATCGGTCACTGATTCCGCCAATATTTTTCGTCGTCTCGCATTGTTCGACCATGGGAATGAATGGCGGCTTAGGATCTGTTCGTTTTATTTACGAGGAGAATTTATGCCAGAGTATCTCCTCGCTTTAACGTTGTTCCTTGATGATCTATAACGCTTAATAAAAGCGGGATTTTTTCCTTTCAATGCTATTTGATAATGGAAACAGCGATGGCAGAGGAAGGTTAGGGGAATTTAAAATATATATACTCGTTTTCTTTTCTCGCTGCTCCGACATTCGTAACGCTCTTTTACGGATAGTTTCACCGAAGAACGATTTACGTAGAGATTTCAATATTTTTGAAAGTTATTTATTACTTGTGTTTGTTAAACGAAAGACGTCAAATTTTGCAATTTTTCGATTTCTCAAAATCGTAGATTTTCCTGTGATAAGCGAGCTTGTTAAAACAACGAAAAGAGGTTACGGTTCGGCTTATCTAAGAGAATCGCGTATATCCAAATTTTCGAGCGTCGAAATTTCTCATCTTTGAAAGTCGCAAGACGCGAGTCACTTGTTTCTCCCACAACTTTTTCTTTACGCTTCACGGGCATCATCCTTTGCACATTCGATCTTCTATTTTCTAAAATTCCGACACACAAGAAAATATCTTGTTCCGTTCAAATCCTAGGACATGGAACTCGTTTCTCGCTCCTTTTCAATCCTGCAGCCATTAAAGTACCTCTCCTTTATAAGCCACCTTATTAAATCCTTTCCACCTCGCTCCAACACCAATTTCCCAATTTCATTCGAACTGTCTACCCAATAAAACACACGGGGGTGTAATTAACAACCCTTGTACGGGGTAATAAGGATGCTGGCGTAGATGGTCGCCAGATCAGCCGTGGCCAAAGTGTCTGCGAATGCATCGACCGTTTGGCAAGCACCGTTGCAGCCGGCTCGGCTTAATATGCGGTAAATGCAAACGGCAGACGTTGCCTCGACGAAATACGACTGCCTAAGCTGCTGGCAACGTTCCAACCCGTGGTCTGCCAGAAAATACGCATAACAAGTGGCGTTGTTAGCGTGGTTCCTCTCGCCAGGGATTTTCCTCCAGTGTTGCCTGCTTTTTGCCCGATTTCAACGTTTGTTCGCGCTGAGAACGCACGTGGCACGAGCATTTGTCGCGTGACAAAGTAGCTGATCTTTTCGAGTACCATACATTATCCGAGTTAGATCGAATAGACGAAGAGGAACACGATGGCTGTGTTAGGCGCGACCTCTTCAACTAGTTCTGACATTTATTCAAGTAGCGGATTTTAGAACTTCGACCGAGTACAGAGATCCGAGATAGAGCCGAGCAAACTATAAAATATAGTGCTACAAATTTGACAATTTGAATATCGTTACACGCGACGCAATTATTGATCCGGTGCTTACAAGTACGTCGAAAGTATATATTTTGCTTTTTTATATTCGATACCAGAAACGCAGGAAGCGTCAAGGATAGAGAATTAATGATCATCTAGGCCGTTCATTCTCGAGTCTTCGTAATTTTGTTACGCTGCCAAAGAATTAATAGAGCGTAGAATTTTGTCGTGATACGTTTTCGTTGAAAGACTGATACTAGAACAACCGGTAACGCATACCTAAACGTACGATATTTTTCACATTTTTTATCATCTGTCCTGTGCTTGCAGTCCGACTACTTTTTAATTAGATATTCCATATACCGGAATCGCGATAAAGTTAGATAATACTAAAACAACGTCGTTAATGCGCATATAACGTCGGCACAGTTTCCCATCGGACGCACCAGCCAGCTGGACTCCCGTTCTTCCGGTTGTGTTAGATAAGAACCGATCAAACTTCTCCATCTACGCAATCCGTAGCCGCTTTCCACTTCTCGGCGAGCAGCATTGTTTCCACGGCGGCTATCTCTGTTGCCCGCCAC